TTACATCTCAGAACAGAAACGGACTGCTTGCCTTTCAAGCACTGACAGTTTTCGAGTCAAACAATTATTGCACCCAGCAGTCATCTCCTGGACTGTGTGTCATTTAAGACCTTGCTGACTTGTAGTACCTGAATCTGTTGCTTCATGCAGTAGGTGAGCAGGAACAAAGTCAGTGTCCTCATCTTCCTCCTCAGAAGACTGCCGCTGCTTTCTCAGCTCTTCAGTTTCCGTCACATCCCTCTTTTGCCTGCTCCAACTGTGTACAGCATGGTATGCTAGGATTATATGGTATAGCTGCTACCTCTAACCCCCAAACCCCCCGATTCAGTTAACCTCATCTTCAGAATAAAAACCGAAAGAACTGCAGATGCTGTAAATCAGGGACAAAAACAAAGTTGCTGGAAAAGCCCAGCAGGTCTGGCAGCATCTGTGAAGGGAAAAACAGAGTTAACATTTCGGGTCCCTTCCTCAGACTCTTCCTTGGGTCACCGAACCCGAAACGTTAACTCTGTACTATAGCCACATGTCCTTTGTCAGTACCCGCCTATGCAGCCGGATCATACCCCATGGACTCTAAACAACATTCAGACCATCCAGTCCTGAAGAAGGGTCCCGACCTGAAACGTCAAGTTTCCTGCTCCTCTTATGCTGCCTGGCCTGCTGTGTTCCTCCAGCTCCACACTGTGTTGACTCTGACTCCAGCATCTGCAGTTCTTGCTATCTCCATTCATACATTCCATTTTGCCCAAGTCAAAGATGTTGCCATGGCTATGCTTATCTCTTTGTGGGGCAAGGAGAACGTTCTTGTTCTAGTCCTCCTTGGCCCCCACCCACAGCCCTTTCTCTGATACATCAACATGTCATTGTTGCTGTGTCCTTCCATTATCCAGAATTGTAATTTATAGTCAATTTTGCCTCTAATTTTCATCCTTCTCTCACCTTCGTCTGGCTCAAGTCTGACTCTTCCCTCTCCTTTCTTTACTTCTCTGCATCTATTTCTGGGTATAGTCTGTCCCACAGTTATCTCCATTACACTTCCTCACAACCTTCTTCCTGCAGACTGTCACCAGGATGGGCTTGGCAGCTTAACGTACAGTGAGACCCTCAAACATACTAAAACGGCACAAGATTGTGTACGCGAAGTGTTGGAAAACTATTAACCCCTGATTAACCAGCAGTTTTGAGGAAAACTTCCAAACCCTGAGGGATAGAAATTCCATCTCCAGTTTATTAATGGTTTGACTGCTGGGTGGTTGCAGGGCAGCTGGTGTACCCAGGGAAGAATCTCTCTTATCTGAGTGGGGAGTGAGGTTAGAGTATCTCTCTTCCAGTTAGTTCCTACTGCCTGTGGTTACTACTGCTTGACTAGTACAGAACATAACCATTACTAAAACACAGCTTAGAAAGGAAACAACAATTTTTAACAATTTGAGAAGAGGATAGTGATTGTTTGGCAAATAGTTGGTGTGGAGAAGCAGCAAGAACTATTAATTGTCACAGTCTACTGATTTAGCTAATTAAATTCAACTCTGATTGGCTGGGGCATTATCATGGAAGTGCAGGAGGCAATGACTGTATCCACAGCTCTTTCTCTAGTGGGAAAAAAAAAACATTTGAACATGTTCCAACACAGTGTGGAGCTGGAGGAACACAGCAGGCCAGGTAGCATCAGAAGAGCAGGAAAGTTGAAATTTCGCGTTGGGACCCTTCTTCAGACCCGACCCGAAATGTCAACTTTCCTGCTTCTCTGATGCTGCCTGGCCTGCTGTGTTCCTCCAGTTCCACGCCTCGTTATCTCGGTCTCCAGCATCTGCAGTTCTTGCTATCTTTGAGCATGTTCTTTTTGCTTATAGATAACTATCCTGTGTGCAAATCAGTGTGACTTCAAACACATGCAAGTGTATCCTGTATATTAATTGTGACCCTGTTCATTCACTACATTATCAGGCAAACTTAGGAAGGGTTTAACACCAACACATTTTTGCTCTGAAAGTTGTTCAACCTACGTCAGTTTACCCTGAAAGGGGAAGGTGTCTTAAAAATCTGAACAAACTGATGAGGTTACAGTATTGCAGTAAATTTGCAAGTGGCAAACTCCACTGACAGGATGCTGCAACCAGGTCAAACGTTCTGCCTACTACACAAATCGTTAATGTGGTATATGAGCTGCGGTGCCGGTGTGAAACCAAGCATATAGGCCATATGCCACAACCACTGGCAGACTGTATGAAACAATATATCCCTTTGACCATCCGCAGCAGTAAGATATCATCCGAGCACAACCAGCCAATGCTTGCAAAACTCAGAATTTAGTACATGTGACTCTATTCTTGGATAGCATTTACTGAATATCCCTAACTGAACAAAGAATTACACTGGAAAACAATTTAAGACCATCAGTTTTACTTGCAGTGTGATTGATTTGTACATGCTTAGAAGCTTCATTAATTCACACATAGGACTCTGTTCTTGGACACAAAGATAAAATGACCACTCATTCCATCTTTTCCACTGAGTAAAGGGCTGTGGAAACATCCAATCAATTAACCAATCAGAGTTAGTTTGCCCTGTTTGAATTTTAACTGTGATAGTTAGCAAACAAGTTCCCACTCCAACGATTGCCTCTGGTTATGCACCAATTTGTCTTGAAAGAGGGAGGAATATATGTCAGTGAACATGGTATTGTCTGGTGATGTGACAGTCTCGATTGAAGAGCAGGCAGGATGTACAAGAAGTTAGATACTAGGGTGAGGCTGACAGCAGTCCTTGTGAATATTTGACCTCCACCAAGAAATCCAAGATGGTGTCAGAGAACTTTAGACCATACCCTTTCCCTGTTGTGCCCTAATTCACCATCCTCCTTTCTCAGATTGTCACCTGCTACACACACAGTGTACCTCCCCGCTGTGATCTTCAACGTCAGGAAATGTTCAATTTTGCCCCTTCAATTCCTCGACAAGATCTAAAGTGTCTTTAATGGCAGAAATGAATGTTATTTCCATTAACATGTTGGCGCAAATCTTCTTGCAGAAACAGAAGAAGAAGGAATCATTATTTTATACCTATTATACAATACTTGTTTCTCTATTAAACAAAGGCAAGTGAAGATAGTCTGAAGAAAAACAACTATCAGTCAACTTAGTTGAGAAAGAGTGAAACCTCATTTCCACTACAGTTAGGTTCTATATAATGCCTGTTAAATAATGCTATAATTTTCATAATCCAGATAAAAAATTGAATAGAAGGTATTTTTTGTTGAAGTAGTTAAAATGCATTCAACAGAAAGGGTTTCCTTGAATCTTAAAATTAATATATGATCTGAATATAAGTTCAATTTAATTTTATAATGCATCAACAGCAACACAAACATCTAAAATTGCCAAATAATGTTTTTCACAATTGTTTTTAAAATAATCTATTAAGTTTTATTAATTGCAAAGTCATTAAGTACAATCATTAGATGAATTACACTGATGCAGTTGATTGTGGCTTGGCTTGAATCTTGAGAAGTTAGCAAATATTTCTCCTATCAGTAATTAAATTTGACAGGTATACACCAGATACAGATTATGTGCACCATAAATAGACTTTAGCACAAAACCAGAAAATTCTATCATTTGGTATCCAATAGCTCCTAAGGCACTTCAACATGAACAAAAGAAAGGAAGATGAGCAACCTAAAATATAATGAATGATTGAGCGTGTCAGGAAAAAAAACCACCAGATTAATAAGAGAGTTTAAGTTGTTAAGATGTGAAGATTCAAATGTTCTCTCAATCAATTTCAAATACAACATGTAAGGGCTGAGAAAGTAAGCAGGTGTATGTTAACTGTGATACTAGACTTCAGTAGGATATTTTTTCCACCTTCATGATATCTGTTTGTTATTTATAATTTAAAAACTCCCCTTTTGCTTTTGCACCAAATTTAATTTACTTTGTGAAAAATGCAGTGTGAAAGAATGGGTTGCTGGATCTGTGCTTGCCATTATTCATCAGTGTCTTACAATTAGCCCATAACTTAAAATGTTTCATCATTATGTCCAAAATAATGTAAACTAAAGTGCATTTTGTTAACATCTTACAAACAGGTTTTCTTTTTAGAATAAAATAATAATAGATTTGAAATTTAATCAATGTTAAAATTTAGTATATGAGAGTAAAAATAGTTCAATTTAAATTTGTTAGTCAAAACATTGCATGTGCTTGATAAATGTAATAACAATCATGATGAGAGTATTACTGACAGTTTTGTATTAGTGCAAAATACAAATTTCAATAAGATTTTGTTATTGAAACTGTATTGTTGATTAATGTGCTATCAAGCAAGAAATTAATTCTACTATTTTTTCTAATAATGTATGCTGTAATAGGGGTGTGGTAGTTGTATGAAAACTTAGATTATGAAGGAGACGGTAAATGCTAAATTACTGTGTTACACAAGTGATGACTGAGTAAAATCTAGTTTTACATGATGTCTTTCTTTGACTTCTTTGACATGACATTCTGCAAATGCACTACTTGTAAATTCCATGCATAGGAGAATGATTTTTAAAAGCTTAGTATGCATAATTTTATAATCTCTTCAGCTAACTTCACAAGTTTTCAAAGATTGATTAAGGATTAATTCAAATGGGAAATACTAGAATGATAACCTTATGCCTATCATACCAGCTAATCCCATTTCCGTCATTTTTTGTTTAAAAACAATATTTACAGACTTAAACCCATGACAAATCTGTGTTAATGAAGAATCATAATTTAACAAATCACATGGAGTCAGAAATTACTTTCCCTTCATAAATTCAAACTCTTCACATCATGCCAAAATTTAAAGAGCACTGCTTCCTTGGCACTTGTTCGCCTTGAATGTTGGTGATGGAACACTTGCATGTTGTGTTTTAATGCCTTGCATGATCAGATCATGCAGAGGCAAATTCCAGTCTGCATGCCGCTTAATGAGTCTTTTTCCTTTCTCTCCTTTCCTGTCTGTGCACACAGAAGACAACTATGTTGAAGGTGGGTGCTTCACATAATTTATTTTCTTAAGTTCCTTTCATATGTGCTGATAATGAGTAACATTGGAATATAGAAACACTTTTTCACGTGGTTTTAGTTAATTTTATGCAACAACTGCTTACTTGTTAAGATGTAATGAATTTGGACATTACGAAACTAATTGTATCAGAAAGTTGAGCAGGACATTTTAAAAATGCAAAACATTAAAACAGAAATCATAGACTATGTATTGTGTGTGTGATGTGAGTCATAAATGACTGTGGTAATACTTCATGTTATGAAAGATTTGTAAACTATGACCAATTGTGCATTTGTTTAAATACTCAGAAGAAAAATATTTGCATGCAATAATTTGCTTTCTTTTTGCCCCGTAGATTTAAAAAAAAATTAACATGCGATGGTTTATCCAAACATATAACCAGCAGTTTAAATGTCAGTCCAGAGAGTAAGAAAACATTATTTACAGACAAATATGTGCAAAATGCTTTCCCATCATTTGAAAACGAAGATAATCTTTTTCTGGTAGAGCATATTTTATGCCAACTCTGATTTTTTTGGCTCCTTGTAACCGGATCTACACCTAAGGCTCATTCTGCCTAGATAGCTTTTTGTCTGCCGTATAATAAATTAAATGAAAGATTAAGTGAAACAAATTAGATCTGGTAAAAATTCCAATGAGGTGGTTTATTCATTACCATGATAGCAAAATCTTGTGAAAATGCAACAGAGACCTAAAGGAAAACTAAAGCGACATTTGTTCTCAGTATCGAGTCCACTAACATTCAGGTAATAGAGAGATATTTTTCTCAGGATTTCACCAGCTCCCTTAAACCTCTGCCAGTATCTAATGGTGAAGGAAGTGAAGGTCCAAGAATTCATGAGAAATAATCATTCTACCTAATCTATTTAAGACATAATGTAAATGACTCTTTTAAACACTTGTCAATTGTACCACCATCATCGTGAAATATAAAGGTCACATCACATTTGTTTATTTAGTACCTGCATTATCTTCCAATGGATCGAAATGGCCAAGCTGGTTAAAAGATCAGAAGTGAAGTGTCAAAATATTGGTGACAAATGCATTATTATAAAGTAATCTGTTCATGCCTTATGAAACAACATTGAACCAAACATACATTTGCGTTAAAATGGCTAATTGTACCAAAATTACTTTGAATATTTGTTTTTGTACTATCTAATATTAACATGATTCTCCTTCCAGATATAACATATCACCACAGTTAACAATTTGTATTTATACAGTTTTTAACATGGTGACATTTGGTATAATAATAATTTGACATGAGAAAATAAAACATTCCAAGGCACGTCACAGGAGTGTAATACAACAACATTTGACAATGAGCCAAATTAAGTGAAATTAGGGCAGATGGCATATACTTAGTCAAGTAAGTTAAGTCTTGAGAAATATCTAGAAGAGAGAAGATATGTAGAGAGACAGGCTTAGGGATGGATTCAAGAGCTTATTTTCTAGCCAGCTGAAGACATGATCAACAATGCTGGAACAATTAAAATTAGGGCTGCTGAAGAGGCCAGAATTAGGCTAGTGGAGACAAATTGATGGAGCTTTTAATATTAGAAGAGGTAACAGAGATACGGGGGGCAAGATGACAGAGGGCAAGATCATGGTCCATAGAGACAGATCAGACATTTAAAAATTAAGGCATTGTTTCAATCTGAGCTAGTGTAAATCAGCAAGTACAGGGCTAATTGCTGAATGAAACTTGGTGTGATTAAGGGCATGGACAGCAGAGCTTTGACTGGGCTCAGTTTTATGTAGAGAAGGATTTGGTAATGTTGACAGGAGTGCGTTTGAACAGGCAAGTCCAGTGGTAACCCAGGCATAGATGAGAGTTTTGTCAGCAGATGAGCTAAGGTGGTGCAGGGTCAAGTGCTGTAACAGAAATGAAAATCAGTGGTCTTACTGATGGAATGGAGATACCATCAGAAACTCATCTTCCTGTCAAGTATAATACTGTGGTTGCAACCAGTTTGGCTAAATCTTCAACAGTTTCCAAGGAGAACAATGGAACAAAATTTGCTGAAGGGACTGAAGATAATATTCTCACCATTCCCAGTGTTTAAGTCAAGGAAATTTCTGTCCATCTCAGTCTGAATATTGAAAAGGCACTTTGATAATCTCATGACAGGTGAGGAGTCAAAAGAGATGATATTAAGGTAAGTATGAAGCTGGGTGCTGTCAGCATGCAAACACTAATATCATGACTTGAATCTTTTTAGGCCCTCAACAACATGGGTTATATTGAGAAAACTGGGAGAATAGTGTGAGATGCTGATACAGACAGTTCTTGACATCAAGACTGACAAGTCTTGTTTTCTAACCTAGTCCCAGGCACTGAGATTAAATTCCTGCTAGCCAATGACTGAAAGACAATAATTGGGTGTTATTTTTCATTATCACCTTCATTGTAATCTAATCTCACTTCATGGATTTGCAGGCTCTCATTCTTTGATCCACCATAAGAATTTAGGAGAATTCCTGATATGAAGGTCAAAATGGGCACCTGGTGACTCCATCTCTTTGCTTGCTCCTGCAGACTTCCACCTTGGGTACCCAACACCAACATCACTCACAACCCACCTCCACATATATTGGCGTCCAACATGTACCAGCCTCTCTACATCATCGTGCCACAATCTATTCACAGTATACATCTCCATTTAAATGATGTACATTGGAGTGCGCAGACACCTCTCACCGGAATGTTGCTGCAAGCGCACTTTGTGCCCATGGTTAGGGAACTAGCTCATGGACTGTACCAGGCTGCATCTCAGGGCTGCTTGCTCGCTGTCTTAGCATTCAATCGCTTCATGCCTACCCGGATGCTCGTATTGCCTTGCAATTCCTTTTAGCGCTTTGCCCTCTCAGCCGCACCTTAAAGAAGCACCATACATCTGCCTTGTTTGTAATTTCGTATGCACGCAAAGCGAATGCCACAGTCTTATGTCAATCTCACATCTGCACCAGGTCCAGCCATGTATGTGTCAAATGCACTGCATCAACTAAATGCCGGTATCTCAAAGCATATGGGGAGTAGCCCTCAGTCAAATCCAGGCAGTTATCTTTTAGGCAGGCATTCCCAGTAAACAGCAAGTGTAGGGCAACCTCTGATATTAGTCCATGGGCTTGAGCACTGTTAATCAGAGCAGACAGTCCCTCTGCATCTGACTGAGCTATGGTCAGCTCTGTAGGTCCATTACAACTATTCTAGGGAGTCATGTGAAGACGGTGGGAAAGAAATCAGTGTACAGAGATTAGTCAGGGATCCGGTCACTCATCATTTGAGTCTGTCTGGTTAAATTGCTGAAGCAATTGGTCGTGGTCAGTTCTGGACGTTCATCCACGAAATATCAATTGGGAGTTGTTGGGCCCACTGCTGTGGAAGGAAGGCTGGAGGACTTAGTTGTGGGCAATAGTTTCAGAAGGCTGCAATGCAGGAGATTACAATAATGAACGGGAGGGGGTAACTCAATACAGTGGAGAAGGTGGGTGAGACAATACAGCATGGGAGGAAAGGGGTCGTCTGGGAAGTAGGGTCATCGACACTAAGAAGCAGCCTGGCCTTCATCAGGAGGTACAGGGCATGACCCAACCTTGTTTGTTTACTTGATATCCCTGGGTTTTGGAAGTAAATTGGGCAGATGAAGATTTGTGTGGAAGTCTGGATTGGAACTTGGGGAAGTGCAAAGCCTGTGGGGTTGATGGGGAGGGCTATCAGGAAGGGCATGTTTATGTTTGGTGTTCATCAAAATGGAGAGATGGAGCCTGAGACTCACTGTTCACGGAGTGGCTGCTGTTGCCTACCATCGTGCTGCAACTAACGTGCACAGCAGCAATGAAAATGGCTGCGACAACACCAAGTGTGGATGAGGAGAAGTGCTTTGCTCTGTGAGGGAGGGGCCTTTAATTTTGAGCAATGCGAGGCCCCTCAAATACAAACAGCATAATACAGACATGCATCGGCTGCACCAGAAACACACCAGTGACTCATTCATGCTTTGTGAACCTTAAGCATGAGCCCTCTGTGTGCAGTCCAATTTCTTGCCCCAAGAATATCCTGATGATAACTGGCAAAATACCAAATGAATTCCACTAATTCCAGTTACGCAATAGGTATGTTTGTCTACCTGGATAGATGCAGTCGAGTTGCCAAAGCAGCAATCACTTGTGATTTACCCATTGCCAGTACATCGTGCAAGAGCTGCTCACTTCATACCTTGGACCATGGAACATTGAGTAGCTTTAAGGATGTGCGGGCTCTAAATCCTCATTGTTGTAGTTGTGGCTAGACAGGGACTGATGATGGAAAGTGAACATTTATTTACAAAATGTGGATCTTATTTTCAAGGGCATCTCAAAGGTGCCATCTCTGTGCCCTCCTATTATATTCCAATGCATTTCTAGGTTCTGCAGCTGGAGCGGAAGAAACCTGTCCTAAACTGGAGCCCATTGGCCTTGGAAGTCAGACATCCCCAGAGATGTTTTTGCCTGGATGGCCCAGCCATGCTGAGTGTGTCCTCCAAATAACCAGGTGCTCCCTCCTCGTCTTGAATTCCCACAAAACTGAGGATGGAAGATAGGGTGAAGGTGGAATACTAAGCCAGCTCTAGAGTGACCTCATTGGAGACTTCTGCAGAGCCTGTGTATGGTTCTTGCTCCATCTGAGTGCCAAATGCTATCACTCTCCTTGAGAGAAAGTATCACCTGGAATGTGCTTAGCATTCTTTGTTCCACAGTCATCTTGCCATTGGTATTGAACACGAGTGGTTAGTGTGATGGAATACAGGTCTGTGTACTTGTCCAGCAGACTCTGAGATCGCTGGACCTGGCTCTCCCTGGCAGCTGCTATCGTGTTCCTGGAGGCAGCTAGACGATTGCATGCCTGACACACCAATCCTGTTACTAATGTCCTGTAACCTACGTGTTACATTTCCAGTATCCCTGACAAACCTGC